TTATGATTAAAGGGTTATGATATGAGCGGGCATTAAGGTGGGGTCATGTTGCAGTAATAGTCTGTTTACATATCTATCGCGATAAAATATTTTATTGCACTAATTGTTTAGTGTGTCTCTTCTTCGCGATTATCTGGTAATCGCGACAGATTGCAACATGATTCGAAGCAATTCCAACGAACTTCTTTCGAATTCTTTGAGATGTTAGGTAGTTCCAGGGCAAAATCAACCGATTGCAACACCTTGTCTTGAACGAATCATGATTGACGGTGCGATTTCCATATGATACGGAAAAATAAACTTTACCGTTTCTTCACTGACATTATTCTATACGCTATCGGCGGTAAACATGAGGAAATTTATGGGATCAGTTGCTGAAAATGAGTGCATCAAACGTGTAAAGGACAGTATCAATGAAGAATTGCTTCACAAACGTTGGAATTGCTTCGTTTGTGTTAGGGAATGTTTCGATTATGTTTCGTATCTAATGAATTCAAATCTGTGTTCTTTGATCCATATAATGATCATTAGTTGGCTTTACCAGGTAAAACAGCCCTTTATTCAAGCCAAATAATGAATACAGTGACAATGACAACGACAATAGCAACTGGAATTGCGATAGTTTCAGTGAGGCATGGTGATGCGTTGTCGCAAATCTCTAATCGATTACCAGACATGAAACGTGGATTGCATAATGATATTAAAACTGATGTATGATGACTCGTCCGAAATAAATTCGCGTTGACGACTTTGTACGTTTCTACTCATCACCATCTAAAAATTCGATTGTTATTACCTGTTTGGGCCAGAATATCAAGAAGTATTCGTCAACAATTACAACGGAAGTCTAATATCGATGTGTTTATCGATGTTTTTTAGCATTTAGTATAGCCGGATTGATGCACTTAATCTAAGCGATTCAATAGCTATTTTTAGGGAATCACTGAAAATATGCGTTCTTGTGAACCGTTGCTAGTCGTTCAAGATGGCTTTCGTGTCAGCAATTGAACATTTCAGTTCCATCCTAAAAATATTTCAGATTATGTTAGGCCTGATCAGGACAATGGAACTGACGTCCCTCTGGAAGCGAAAACTGTTTTTAATCATTGTATTCGCATTACTTGTTTTCTATGGTGTACAATACATCTTCGTCAAGAAATTTCAATACGGCCTAGTTCGGTGGGTAATTTGTACTTTGAACGAAGTAATATTATGGGCTCCAGAAATGAATTTCTGATCCATTTTAACTCCAAATACGCTTGTGACAAACAAAAAATGACCGAAAATTACACGAATTGATATGGTCAGATCAATAAAACGCAATCATCTCGGCAGCAATGACACTCATATTGATAATCATTCTTATCATTTTCATCAGTGAATCTGTAATTCAAGAAATGACCCATCAGCAGTTTTCATTTGTTCATTTCTACACGTCCTTTGGCGATGATATCTTGAGGACATCGCCTACAAAAGCAGCTGATGTCAGTCAGCCCTTGAATAGAGAGCGTTTGGTCATATAGCGGCAATAAATGCTGACAGATTCGATAACGATAACTATTAGTCAGCAAAGCACTCGGTGCTTTTTCACCAAGAAGTAAGCAGAAATAGTCGAACGCAACGATTTTCACTCCTTATTTCCCCGTATGCATGTAGCAATTCGTTGCACTTTTCCATCTTCATGATTTTTACTCTGCCTGCTTCGAGTCTTGTATTAAAGATGACTATCAAAAAGATTCGAAGAAACCGCTTGTTTGGAACCGGAAGTATTTGGTACAAAAGCGTTCTCATTTACCACCTCTTCACAAACTAACTCATTCATTGCCTTCCAATAGAATCAACAGTTTATCAACTTTTCGCTTCCTAATCCAAAGAAACTTCAAATTTCATGACGAGAAGGGTAGAGGTGCCCGTAAGTGTTTCGCTTCGTGTACTTTTAAATAAATGAGTTTTTTGATGTAATTAAGATTGAATTGGAAGTCTGCCACGCGAGTTTACGCAGACAAATTGGATGAAGTGATCAAAAATATTGGCTTAATGGACAACGGAATTAATTGTGATGAACTGGCGAGTGGAAACGTTCCCGAATCAATTCGACAAAAAGCGGAACGGTGGACGTATGATTTCGAAATGCGAAATCCTCTATTGGATGTAGCGAATCGCAATGAAAGGTAAGCGATCGATCGATTCGATCGTTCCATGTTGATCATCTCATTGATAGTTTTTAACCACCACGAAGGCATCGCTCTCATAACTTATGAGAATTGCTCACATTTTGTACTGCGAACACGACTAAAAGATTGCTTTCGTTGAGGTGAGACTTATTTTGACTGTATCAGGTGCATCGTCTTCAATCGCATCAAAAAATCATCAGTACGATTGCGTCTCAAAAAATTTCCATGTTCACAACGCAGAAATAAGCTGTATCGCAGGTTGCATGTTGCTTATTGTCCAAAAATTACACTTCACAAAAAGCATGTATGTGTTTATACAATGTGTGTTTACAGCTGCACATTGCATGAACAATGCTAACATGCACAATTTGATTCACAGATGAAATGTTGACTTAGCAGAAACAATTTTTTGTTTTTTGTTTGAATCCTTTTTTTTGAACATAATTGTTTGTTGCTTTATTAATGATTCAATAAGAATTCAGATGTAATTATCTGACGAAGCAATATGGTTTCAACACCGTACCACTTTCTGACGAAGAAAATGAATTTCCGATCGCCTATGGATTATTGGTTTTCCGAACTGCAATTCAGGTTATTCATTAGCAGTCGTTAACCGCATTCTTTTCAATCTTCAGTTGTGATCAATGCAGTAAATTCGCACAAACGAAAGCATCATTTGGGAAAATTTTTGAGATTTTGAATCGATGTTCTCAAGTGATGTTCACTGAAAGAATTAAGATTTACCATATGCTGAGTGCGTTTTATCATCCGCAAAACGCATATTGTATAGCGATAAGTAATGGAAGCGATGCGCAGTTTAAACGATCAGTCAATTTCATTGGGGAGTGCTTTCCGAACGTACATGTCATGGTATGATTATGACCAAATTCTATTCGTATCCGAAGGTTATATCAAGTTGTTGATTTGTCCACTCAATAGCGTTTTCATTCGACAAACGTTTTCTAACGATGAACTCATTCCAGTCAAATTTTTAGACAGTGCATATCACAGCTGCTCTCTGTGCAACAAATACAATAATTTGTTCAAAAGAGTACCATTCAAACAACTCAATTCTCCCTTTCAGCAGATATCTGGAGCAATAAACTTGTGTGTGATTTCCTGATCATCTAATAAAGAATACTTTTGCATCATTAAGATTGTAAATAATGTTCGGTGGGGTAAACACAGTATTCTGACGGGAGTTCTCGATTGCTTGCGTCACCTAACAGCATCGAAAATAAAATGGAAATATTATCAGGTTAATAATTCCGTTTGTTCAATGATTTCGCCAATATTATGATATTGATAGAACAGTTTGACTGGATCTGAAACATCACTGATCAGTCGAATGAAATATAAGCCGTAGTAATTATCTTCCATTATCATAACGCTTCTCGGTTTTGGACCGTTGAAAAAATTCAATCTTGCAGTATCTTTCGGGTTTTGACCTCCCTCTTAAAACAAATCGTGAAATGGTGAGGATATTCAAACAATTGAATGGTTCGTTCAACACCGAAGTGCTACACTATGATTATGGTCGTCTCTGGGCGAGAAAGGTATGAAGAAGCCGATGTTGAAATGAATGCAGCAAAAATGAATGTGCAAAGAGAACAAAATCATTGAAATTCACTTCAGACTTTGAAACCTACCAACTCATTTTCAAAAACTTAATGAGCCTTTCAATTCACAGGATCATGAGAAAGCTAAGACAATGTTCAGCTAGAATCAGTGATATGGGCTGTGTAGCTCATACGTGACATATCATATTTACAAGCTTATTTTACATTCGATTCACGTTCAAGCATCTTTTTTTTTGTCGATTCAACAGATCATTTAGCTGCGAACGGAAAACTTAACCATTTTCAGAATGCTCCTTGATAGTTTTGTTGAAATGCATCTGTTTGCATTGATTTATCATATACATCCTCAGTGGCGTGTTATCTGCATTCAAAGAACAAGTTTAGGTGCCCAAACGGGATGTAATGATAATTATTCAGGGTACAAAAGCACCACACGGAATTCACTTGTTCAAATCGAGTTTATCAGCAACATTCAGTCGTGAATCGGCGAACTATATCGCCAATAATACAGTCGTGAACGAACTTATTCATTACCTCAATGGAACACACGTTCCGGATGAAACCTTCTGGACAACCGTTGCTGGTAATCCTGAAAGTGAGTGCCTTCGAACTGACTTAATAGGGTGATCCGATCGGATCAATTCACAATGTCATATTTAAAATAAACAATAATAACTGCATTCTGGACGTCATTATCTGATCAGTGTAATGATGTGTTCCGCATATTGTCGTGATTCGCGAGCTATACAAATCATCATTCATGGTTCACGAGCGAGTAAACCGGCTGAATGCATGGGAGCAACGAAAAGATTTATGAACAAAACATTGTAATGAATTGTACGCCACTTTCGGGCACTTATCGCATATCAGATGCCTACAGCATGCTAGATGCTATCTTCTGCAGTTCAGATGCATTTATAATGAGTTAAGATACGTATGCTGTGAATGTACAGTTTAATTATCACATTGCTATTTCGTGTTTTATCGCCTCATTCAGTGCTGTTCGAAACAAAACGTCGCAAGATATACTCTAATAGTAGGCATTCTGGAATAACATTCAGAGATTAGTTATTATCCTATGGATATCGTCATTGAACTGGTATGCTAGAGACATTCTAGAAATTCCAATGCCCGGAGCCTTCAATGGGACTCGTTTTCTGCAATTTACTGATGAACTTGAACGCAGACAGCAAAATGAAATTCGAGCGGAGTTTGCGACTTCTACGATGCACTACTATATATCGCGTTATCAAGTATGGTGGTTCTCACGAATAAAAATTTGCAACGGTGAGGAAATTTAAGTTCATTGAAGCGATTTTTTCAGCCAGCTGACGTTTTATTCGCCCGTTTTCTAGTGAAATACTTATCTATGAGACAAAAAATAAAATGCACATATATGTGTGTAGAACGTATCACGGGAACCTAACTCAAGTGAGTAAATTTCAAGTTTCTGGACTAGCGTTGAAAAATCTGCAGTCTGCAATTGAATCTGCGTGACACAGCAGAAATGTTTAATGCCGACCATCAATATCTTATGGTACTTGAATCTGAGGATTTCTAAGAGCAATATCGAATTCACATGTTACTGCAGTTCATATAAGCTTATTATCAGATAAATTTTTACTCAAACCGATCATGAAACGACCTGACCAAATCAGATGTATTCAATTGAATATGAATGTACTCAGTGCCATAGATTGCTATTCAGTCAGTCTTTTATTTAGGTGAATTCGTAAAGGACTCTTGTGTATACGGAATTGGCGACATTCCTATTCTACTTGGAAGACGTGAACTTGTAGCACATAAATTCTATTTGCATATACAACCAGCTGCTTATTTCTGTGTCTATCAAAAAGTTCGTCAACGAGCCATATCGCACGATATCGACAGTTTCGATGATCGACCTTATGCGAATTTACCTGGACCAGCGTTGAAACGTGGCGTGAATCTCGATGTATGGACGAAGCGCTATTTTTAGTCTGGGGCCAGTGATCGCGAACACCTTGCTTTAAGAAGTCCTCAATTACAATGACGTGTCACCTTCTCTGGACACGAACACCTCCAGTGAATCTGCTCAGAGCTGCTTGTGACAATAAATTGTTATGAAAATTAAAAGTTTAACATTGTTGTATGAATCAGAGTGACATTCCAAAATTGTATGCATTCGCAGTTTGTTTAGTTAGACTAATTACATTTCTCAGAGCTATACAGATAGATCTGTTTATGCCCTGAAAAAGCTCATAAATTGTATGTGTTCGATAATGTTCGATAAAATATGTTCGATAATTCAAATAGACTGTGAGTAAATTTTATTCACATTTGATGACGATACATAAATGATTGGTTGATAAAATCAAACAGATAAACGAACAAGCAATGGCACTGTATTCATTTGATCAGTGATCAAATCTGAATCAATGCGTAATTTAAAGAACCACTACTAACTACCGTGCGAAACAGCGGAATCATCACATTTAATATCGGATTCATACGATTTTCGATCACGAGCCATGAAATTTAGAAAGCCTTTAAGTTACGAGTGCATGACCAAGTTGGTGGATGGCTCCATTTCCTCAATTGTCTGACTGCTGTTCGAGAAGACAAGCTTGTTTGCGGCCAAATTTTATTACGTTTTTCTAGGGTTCTCAATCTTGGCTACATGATGGTATATATCTTGGTTATGAATTTTCCCTATCAGTTGGGTAAAAATTTCAATTATTCCTTGAATTTTTGTACTTCAAGCAGTACAGCATTTTCCGAGTATATCTTTATTGCTGTCCACTCTAGGCACAATGTTTGATTCTCCTGGGTATGCGCTACAGAACGATTGGTAAATCACCCGGATTTATTTTCGTTTGATGGCTAATCGTAAGAGAAATTCACATTTCTGCACACCAATCAAACGAAAATGCGAGTTCTGTCACTTGGCGGACTGTCCATCCGTTCGTATTTGGCGAACTGTCAGTTTACCCTTGACTTCACCAACCTAAACTCTACGTTCTAATCCAGTTGAACGAAACAAAATTCCGAGAAATAAAGTGATCACCTTATTGCTAGTAAAGAACCACAACGATAAAGAAAGTGCTAAAACTGTGGTGTTGTCCCATTTCGCTTAACGACACGTACGTGCCAGATTCGAAACTTTGCCAATCAACCAATGCTGAATATCGGATATGAGATTTTGTGGGTGACGGATATTCAACTCCTTACTAAGTAGTCCCCTTACAGTGGAGTACTCGTGCGATGTTTGTACCACCTGATCTGCATCAAACCAAGTATGAAGAAAGGAAAACAACCTGATACTACGCTGTAAGGAGATTACTTGAGCGACAACTAAGTATCCTAGACTCGACGTTCGAACCGAAATTAACCAAAATCCAATCCGATGTTAACTGTCTTAGGTGAAATTGACTTTTTGTGAGCATATTATTCCTCTATTTCAGCCCCTTTCTTCCATTTCGAACCACGAGTATTCAAACCGTTACTGATATTAACGGTCAAAGACCGTTAAATTTTTTTTCGTGAATGATTTTTTTTTCGGAAGGCTCGGATAATTTTCCGTGTTGAAAGTGATTTCGTTGTCATCGTTAATGTTCCTTCTCTCGCAGTCTATTTCTTTATAACTGTAAATTTCTTTTCATTCTTATAGTTTCTTGTTGCAGGCAAAACAGCCTTCACTTAATTGGCTAGCCATCTTGGGATATATTCGTTGCGATTCGTCCACAAAAACCTCACTATAAACGACGTAGTAGTGAACAAACGGATAGTGAATCGTACCGAACCAAAGATAAATTTCGTTGAAAAATGTCAAACGATCGTTCACGTCGTGGCTTGAATCCGAATGCTCAAGCTTTCATACCCAACCCAGGCGCTAGACCGTTCGTACCTGGCCAACCGTATATGTTCGCCAATCCGCCGCCAATCTACGCTCAACCCCCTCCACCGGGTGCCTTTCCACCCATCTACCCGCCGCAGCATTCACAATTCAGCGGGCATATGATCCCTCAACAGCCGACTAATCCGATGTTTGCACCACCTCTTCTACAACAACCTCATATGCCTCCACAACATCAGTTCCAACAACAAGCACAACAAAAAATGATGCCCCTTCCAACACAGCAAGATATTATACAGCAACAACCACCGCTTGATGGTAGGTGCATTTTCTTGTTACGATTATAATTCTCATTTCTTTTGTTACCACCTTTACTATCACTGTTACTTCTATCTTCATAGTAGGCATTATTGTTATTTATATTACGTCCACTGTGATTACCGACAGTCGAAGAGTTCTGAATATATATTCTTTTTTTTGCAGACTGGGATGCAGAAGAGCCCGAGCCTGAACCCGAAAGAACAGAGCCAATAGCACCCGCCGAACCAAAGGAAACAAAGGAAGATGAACCTGAAGCGAAAATTGACGAACCGGAAGAGGTTAAGACAGAGGTCGGTCGTTTGCTTGGCGCTTCATTTTCGAATCTACCAAAAAATGTATTGATAAAAGTGCTCAGTGAGAAGTATGTCTCATTTCAGGAAGCAGAAGTGGTTGAAGAAGAAAGGCAGCAAGAGAGCAAGACAGATGTCGAAGAAGTGCCACTTCAAGAAAAGAAAGCCGCAAGTGAGGATCGAGAGGGGAGTGGAGACAAAGCCACAGAATCTGGAACTGATTCCAAAAGTGATGAAATCGACGAAGTGGCTGCTCTGCCAAGCAAATTCAAACGTACCGTCTATGTGGATGGTGAGTTTTTCATGTTTTCCCGACATCTTATGAAAAACTGATAGCGTTTTGATAATTCAGCCTGCATGTTCTCGAAGAACGGCAAATAGTTTGTGCTCAGCGTATGCGAATAAGTTAACCACTTCATGAGTTCAAAGAATTTTCAGTGCAATCGACTGCAAAAATAAAGAATGATATGAGTTAGTAGCATCAATGATTTGATATTGATGACTGTTCTATTGGAGAGATTGACTATAAATGTTGATGAAATTACTAATGGTAGAAGAATGGATGATAATTGCTTATAGATGGTACTAGGAAAGCGCACGTAAACATTGTTTTCATTGGTCACGTAGATGCTGGCAAGTCGACGATCGGCGGGCAGTTGATGTACCTGACAGGAATGGTTGACAAGAGAACGCTGGAAAAATATGAGAAAGAGGCAAAAGACAAGGGTCGTGAGTCATGGTTTGTCTTGAATTTATCATGGTTTTGGACGGTTTTTAGTCGTCTCATTAAATCCCTATTGGTTGCTATTTTTACAATAGTTTTCTCGCTAAACACTTCATTTCCATGTATTCACTCCAGAGTAACGTCATTCTCCATAATCAATGGAATCCGAAGAAATGTACATGTCAATTTTATTGTTGAATTTTCATGATGACCATGAGATTTGTTTAACATCGAACACATATGACTAGGAATTGTGCGAAAATTCATTTGGTGAAGAACCGCTGAATTCAGGTATTTGTCTTGGGCGTTAGACACGAACGACGAGGAACGAGAGAAGGGTAAAACAGTAGAATGTGGACGTGCATTCTTTGAGACCGAAAAGAAACATTTCACGATTTTGGATGCTCCAGGTCATAAATCTTTCGTACCGAATATGATTAGCGGTGCGACACAGGCCGATCTAGCTGTTTTGGTAGGAGTTTACCCTTGTAAAACCCTTTTGGTTTGTTTTATTGTCTGGTTTGGATTGGTAAAAAATTTATCTACAGTCAGTTGCAAAAAATCTGTAATGGTTGAAATTATGAAGAAATAGCTGTAAAATCATTTTTGTTCTCTTATTTGCGTAATTGTTATTGGGTGGTAATTTTGCTGTTACGCTTCGTTGAGAATCAGATGAATTTGTGGAGACAAATGAAGTTAATCGGCTAGCAATAAGAGATTTTGTAGGTGATTAGTGCGCGTAAAGGTGAATTCGAGACTGGCTTCGATCGTGGTGGTCAAACGCGTGAGCATGCAATGTTGGTGAAGACGGCCGGAGTGAAGCATTTGATTGTGTTGGTTAATAAAATGGATGATCCAACAGTGGATTGGGAAGAGGAGAGGTGATTTATTTTCAGTTTTATTTTGCCGAACGATGAACACTTTGAGGAATTTTCACTGTCGTTTTCTGAATATGATTATTGATTATTAGTGACTATTTGTATTGGATTTGCTTGAGTAAATCTGATGAGAAGTGGCTGCTTTCTTCGAATTTCAATTGATTTTGATCTGAACTCGAACTTTTACAATCAAAAGGAATTCTCATCATGTTATCTTGATTTCTTGTTTTTTTTGTCAACCTTATGAAGAATATTATCTATCGTGCTTTTGTCGTCCATCAATGAACAGAAGTGAATGGCTTTGTTAAACGATTCATTTTATAGGTTCAAAGAAATTCAACAGAAACTTACGCCATACTTGCGCAAATGTGGTTTCAATCCGAAAACGGATATAGTCTATATTCCGGTATCAGGCTTAACGGGTGCATTCTTGAAGGAGCGACCGTCCGCTGAGTTCGGATCGTGGTACACGTAAGTGATGTGATTCGAATTGATTTTGATTGTTGAGTGGTTCGGTGATGATTTTATGTGCTCGCGGAGAGTTCATTTCGTTTTGCATTAAAAATGCTGAGCATTTCAGAGGGCCATGCTTCATTGAATATATTGACACTATGTTACCAGAATTGAGTCGAGACTTCGATGGACCAGTCAGAGTGGTTATCGCTGATAAATATAGTGTTTGTTCTTGATTTTTGTTATTATTATTATTATTGTTTGTTGTTATGATCTATTATTGTCAAAGTTATTGTTATTTATCTCAGTCGTTCTCATTTTTTATTATTCATGTTACTATTGTTTTCGATTTCAGGATATGGGCACCATTGTGATCGGTAAAATTGAATCAGGTATTATTAGTAAGGGTGACAGTGTTGTAGTAATGCCAAATAGGGTGAGTCTTGTTTCGTTGCATTTTTTTTCGTTGATAACAAATTGTGGCGTGAGAGTGGATAATGAACGGTGACTTATGCGAACAAGAGATTACTCCCTCTTTGTGAATTTCTTTTATTGGTATGACTCAGTGATCAATAACGAATAGAGACAGAATGTTAACGTCGAATAAAAGTAAGAGTGAATGGTTTTAGACAAACGTTCAAGTGATTCAATTATGGTCAGATGACGCAGAAACTGACAGGGTGATGGCTGGTGATAATATAAAGCTGAAGTTGAAAGGTGTGGAGGATGCGGACATTCTGTCAGGATTTATTTTGTGCTCATCGGATGCACTTTGTCACGTTGGAAGAGTTTTTGATGCTGAGGTGAGTGGGAGAGAATCACTTTTGAAACAATTGGCTGAACTGAATCTTTGAAGACATTCGAGTTTTTGGAATTTGACGAGTTAAGTTCGAGGGTTTTTAGGGGAAGTGAAATTTTGAGTTGTTGTTGTGTGCTGAAAATAATTTTAAAATGGCATTAGTTAGTTGTCTGATTGTTGAATGTTTTGTTGAGGTTGTTATATTGGAACATAAATCAATCATAGCTTCTGGATATTCTTGCGTTCTTCACATTCAGTCGGCCGTTGAAGAGGTTACTGTCAAGGTGAGAAATCTGATTGTGATTGGTTGTACGATTTTTTTTTTTTTGATATTCCCTTTTGAGTGGATTTCAGTCTTTTGATTCTGTTTTGATCTTTGATTGAAGGAGTGTAATAGGAACAGTCTTTTTAACATTTTTAGCGATTCGATTGTCAAACTTACAATTTACATTCAAACCTTCAGCACATTTAATCGTGAAATTTGATGAGTGACGATAAATTATAGAGAATTTTCAAAGATTTGAGTGAATTTAGAAGTGATGTAATAAGCAAAACGGTGATGTGCATATCACTGATTCAAAATGAAATGAGATGGAGAAATTCGGTTGGTGACGGACAGATGGATCTTGTGAATAGTTGGAATTGTTGTTGTATTTCAGATGGTGATTTGTACGATTGATAAGAAGACAGGCGCAAAGCTTCGAGCACGTTTCGTGAAACAAGATGAAAAATGCATAATGCGATTGGAGAGTGCAGAACCGTTCTGCTTGGAAGCATTCAAAGATTTCCCTCAAATGGGCAGATTTACACTACGAGATGAGGGTAAAACGATTGCAATCGGTAAAGTATTGAAAGTGCTCGAATAGTAATTTTGATTGTGATAATTGACAGATAACAATTGATGATGAGACGAGATGAAATCAGATCAGATCTAGTTTTATAGGTCTTATTGACATAAACAAAAGCAACTAAATGAATTTGTTCGTTAATTCGCTTATTATTCGAGCGGTTTTTGAGAAAAATTTTCACATCAGTTAATCAATTTCTTATTTGAAGAATTATAAGGGTGTATGCTCTATGGTAGTGCTATGTGAATGAAGGCACTTGATCAGCATATATGCTTCGAAAGTTTTATGCATTGAAGCGCACTTTTATTTGGGTTATGGAATGACGTTTGCTGTAAGCTTTGATTTGCATTGAGTTGTTGTTAAATGGAATTTTCTTTTTAATTTTGTGAAATTTTTGAGTGACATATTAGATGATTATTTGTTATTGGACGAAATAATCTGATAGGTGGATAACATTCAATGAATCGGTCCTCGTTTTGTCGTGATTCGGGTTGAGACGGAGCAGAAATGTGCCATTTTAATAGTGATAACGAAGGAAATTTCATTTGATTACTCTTACTATTACTATTATTATTATTGTTATTGTTGTTGTTTCAAGATAATATAATCCTTTCAATTTTATCAGCGATTCTTTATTCGTTATTGCTTTGATTCTTCGAAATGACTGTTCCATAGAGTACAAACGTGATATTTGAATTGTTCATCATTCAGTATAAGAATGATGCGTTATTGAAAAATGAAGTTAACTTATTAATTGCCCTTGATTAATAGGTAATTTTATTTCGTTTGGTGGGAGTGCTGAGTGGAGTAGTGATTTATTGTTACAATATTGTTAGTGTTTAAGTCTTTCCAATGGGCAGAAGTTAAATGGCATCTCTAAGAGGATGGTTTTGAAGTGTTAATAGTGCTCATCGAGATGTAGACTACGGAAAAAATTGTGTTTGTGCTGATTTGAGCATTATTTGCTGAAATAAGGCTTAGACTCATGCTTAATCTCGAGCTAAGCACCACGCCTAGGACAAGGTTTAGATCTATAGGCGGCTGACATTCATCCGTTGTTTGCTCTTAGAATTAGAAAATTCGCACATGCAAGCTTCTCGCCTATTGCCTATTTCGCCATGTAGACGAATTTGAAGGGTTACTGGGAGATTGTTGATTGTTGTTTTCTTGGTGAGTTGAAAATTCGGCCCGTTTTGGTCCGTAATGGATCACTTCTGTTGTTTGATTTGATTTTACGATGTTGTTATCGTCAATATAATTGTCGTTTTGATCATAATCACGAAGATATTTATCGAAAATGCTATCGATATATAGCATCAGTATTTATTATTATTACTGAATTTGTTTATTTATTAATGTTATTACAAATATTTTCGAGAGGATTCAGTCATTCAGCGCTTTCATACTCCGTATGAGTGCACATTCATTTATCCAACCATTCACATCGCAAAATTGTTCTATTTATTATTTTTATTACTTTTATTCGCATTGTTATTGTTTTATTGTTTGGAATGCAGCAATCGTTGTTCTCTGGTCAAATAAAATGGTCGTTGGGGAGGACGAATCTATAATTTTTGCGCATCATTTTCGTTTTGTTGCTCACAGTTCTAAAAATAACTTCCAACGAGGAGTGGATTCATAACATCAAAAAGGAGTGCTAAAACTCATCGCCCATGAATGATATTAAAAACTTTCATCAAGAACGCCTCACACTATACGCCATTACCGTCAATGAATCACATTCAATTTCATTCGCAAATTTCACAGATAAAAATTGAATTTGCAAATCATTCAACAAAGCTATTTCCCACTTACTAGGGAAGGTCACGAACTTACCCCCACGTTTCGGGATATTTCGGGATATCGGAATATTCAATGAAACAGAAAAATAAACATTTTCATATGCAAAAAAAGAAATCGCTCTCAAACGCTAATGACAAACCTTTGCTTTGTCTTTACATAAGTGGCTTATAATGCTATTAAAATATGAATAAAAATCGCATTTGAAATGTAAAAATGACTAAAGAAAAATGACACGAGTGCTAAAAAAGATTTTGTTCAAAAATTTATTGTTATCAATGTGCGGAAAAAACAATAAATACACTACAACATTTCATAATTTCAATTGCATAATATATCAACTTTAATAACTAGAAACCACTGAATATGAGGCTATATTCATCATGCGGACATCGTTGCGACAGACTCATCAGCCGCATCGTCGTCATCTGCGCTTGTGACAACTTCTTTCTTCTTCTTTCTATTTCGTCGTTTCTCCACCTAAAATGAGCAATTTGAACAAATAAGACGAGCTGTTAAGAATTTTTGAGAAACTGAACAACATTCAAAACCTACAAATTGAATCACTCGATATAAGAATAACCTCCGAATGTATTCAGTAGGTCAAAAACGTACAGAATTAAAAGAATTGAAAATTTATCACAGAAACCATCCACAAATCCCAACGAGAAACCTGTTCTCATCAACCTAATACAACTAAACCAATGGGGAATAGATTCCACGATCTCAAAACAAAAACCATAAACGATACGACAGTTCAAATGGCCATCTGTATAATACACTGAATCAGTGTTTCATATAATCGCTCTCCAATCCTATTATATACCTAACAACTCGTTATTGTTCGATCTACTGAATGCATTGTGCTCTATTGTCAATAAAATGTGCGTCAGTTCATTTGACATTTTTTCAGAGCTTTGCGGTCATTTCTGCATAACTTCTCGTGGCATGTTATACGAACAGCTTCGGATTCATTCGCTTGCGACGTTCGAGTGTTTACTCATCCTTTCATTTACCTTTTCAATTTCTTCAGGTGTCGCAACTGGTAAGAATTTATCAATATCAATTGCTAAATGCATATCGCCTGGAATCACCATCATCAATGCTCTATTTATGAACGGTCCTGAAAGATTGGCTGAATTATTGTTAATTCAATAAAAGATTGAAATTATAATATGGAAACTGTTTGCATCACAAACCTAATGCTGGATTGCGATGTTTACAGATTGCCTTTATAATCGAGCCGATGTTCGCTTCAATTTCTTCATCAGGCATTGATAACTAAAACAGCGCAACGATCACTTGATGGGTTATCCGAGAAATATTACTATTTACACAGTAATCATATCATGCAAAGTTCACGAATACGTCCATCACGGCCAATATATTGCCAATATATTATTTGTTTATTTATTCACACAGCTGCTAGTGTACATTTCGTACATAAGCCTCTTCAAGATCACTCCAGTTATCACTATTATCACTAGTAATAAATCTGCCAACATATTAGCGAACTTGAAAAGTTTCTAGGCTGATCATGTAGCAATTTGTTTAAAATTCTAGTTGTTAAGAGCAATTGCCGCAATGAAATTCACCCTTCCCACGACCACATTACACAGTCCCCATACTGGATAGACCGGATCACCGCGTATATTCACTTTAACACCATTTTTGAACATTTGTATCAGATCCGGTAGATCTTCACCGAGACCTCCTGGAAAATGAGGAATACATACGCGAAATAAATTCAACCGAAACCGAATGTCACAAGTCGGACGCATTTACGCTCAATCTTTTATTTCCGATGTAAAAGCCAGCTGAAATGTGATCATAGGAGACCGTTAAGTTTTGTTGGAAAGCGTGTTTTCAATATTCCACGCAACGGTAGAATTGATGGTCCCATATCCACATGCGCCACACAAAAATCATAGTCATCCGTTCGAAATTGTCCTTTGATTATCTGAAATTCACCTTCAAATTGCCACACTTTTCACTCGAACCCTCTCAAAGAATTCGATTCATTGCGATGTCTTTACGTATTTCATTATTCCTTCCTCAGCTTTTCTCATCTGCATTCTCCTTACATTCAGCAACTGTCTATGAAAGCGTTTCAGTATGCCCCCGAATCCAGTAACCTTTTTGATCATTTCAGGCCCTAACGCGATTTCAGCACCCGATTCGACGGCCAATTCTTGCAATTTTGGGTCGCGAGCAAACGCCAAGATAGTACGCTTCTCGTTATGGACGAACTGATATGGAACTGGTACGATCTCGTCACTGTTCGGTACCATTTTAGTCTGAAAGTATCAATTAAATTGGTAAATGATTCTTTACATTAGGTTACTAGAACTGACATCACACAATCATCAAATCACCACTTCTACAATACAATCACTTTCTACACAAACAGAACGAAACGAACAAGTAATATCCAGATAAATGCATATTGCCACGCTCTTCTAAACAAGTGCACATTCTGATTTTAGGAATATTTTTGCAAACCATAAAAATGTTTGAGGACGTCCAACGATGTACGGTTCATGGATTTGTGATAATATTTCTGAAAAGAAGGCAATCAAGCTTGTGAAGTAACCACCAACTTGTCGTTCTGTATTCATGTTCAGCTCGATCCTTAATCGTATCGGTGCTTTTGGGTTATTATAAATCGATGGCTGCTGCATTTCCCTGAAATTTCAGTCTTACACGATAAGTTCCTAGCAGCTAAACTACTGAGAAAATATCCCAATCCCCTCAAAAATGCTCATCGAACCACTCGTCCAGCCAGTTATTATCAGTCACAATCTCACGATCAGAGTCAATCATCTCAAGTCAACAGAAAAGAATACGGCAAGAAATGTCCGATCTCAACAGCCACGTAAAATGCACACCTATGCACGGCTAACGCCTCGGGAATAGGGTGAAACTGCGTCTTCAACATGGTTGATATGTAAACATTTGTTGTTGGTTTATCAGGTAAGCCCTCTTCATCCTCACGAATCAGTCGACCAGGAAACTGTTGAGACGGTGACAGTCTGCAATTGAAACGGAACTCATCATGTGAATATTCTCATCATGGAAATACCAAAACCATTTCGGAACTCTCTAATATTCTATTCGACCTACTGAAAAGATGACGTGCGATTTTCATTCGAAAAAAAAAATCCCCAAAAATTCAATGATTCTTTACTTGCGTTTATTGCACGAAACGACTCCTCACTAGAAACGACTTTTCGAAATAATTTTGTTCGCAACGATGTGATAATCAATCAAAATGATCAAAATTTGGTGATGAAAAAAAAAACAACTGAAGAAAAAGTAATATGAGAAATTGGCAAAAGCTAAACGAAACGATGAAATGAAGTTGAAACAAGACAAGACAAAAACAGCTAAAATGGAATGAGAAAATGAAATTTTGAAATGGTCGCATAAAAAACGAACAGGTTTTTCATGCGACGAATATTCAATCGTTCCATGAAATTGTACTGCTTCCGGGCCGCTTCTTTCGCTTCCCGTTTCAAACGTCTTTCTAATTTTTGTTGACGTGATAAATTCGCTTTCAGCGCTCGTTTACGACCTTAACTTTCTTCAATTCACAATCAACAATTCAGTTGGAATGTAGTTTTGAATGATTCTCACCGAATGTGCCGCTTCAAACCAGTTTCTGATTCTTTATCACATTAAATGTTAGCTAAAAAAGCGTTGAATGATATCAACGTATCGGTGATATATTGCTCACAGTATCAGTGATAAGTCTTTTTAATGTCGCTGATGTTACCCAGCCTACTGGGGCAGCCTAATCTTTTACTTGTGTCCAATTATCCATTCATGACGTATATCAATTTAAGCGTTTTTGCATATTACAAAGTAGCTGGTGACTGCAATAACAGAAATAATATCTTCAGCTTCATTCATATGTTCTCAAATTATGAACTATGAATTGACTAGCGGATAGCCATTGAATCAGCCCAATATTTCATGCTTCCTTCCTTTGCATTTGATGAAACTTGTGTTCTAGTTGGAGAAATTTTTTCGAAAGGCTCAAATTTTGAGATATTTGAATGCAACCTCTCTGTTGTTGTAGCTGGAGGACTTGAGGTGACAGCAGAGCCGTCAAAGGGAACACATTTTGCAGTGACGATGGCATGGCCCCGCCTAATACGGCTAACGGGGCTCGACCGAACGGTATTCGCATTGCACTGGTTCTCTCGTCTTCGTTTCTTGTTTTNTGATACATCAAACCAATCGCTATGAATCAATTTGGTTCAAATAATTATAGCCAGCATTTGTGATTGATTCAGAAAGATCACTGTTTTGTGGCTATCACTCGTTTCCAACAATTATTCTGAGCAATTCCAGAAATCGAGTGTATTCACTCGATCAATCGGATGTTTTTGGGCCTATTTCTCGGCACTCTTCCTGCGAAGTTAGCAATCCTTGAAAACGGACAATATCCTACACTGCTATCATCAGCTATATGGAAAGAAGGACATCTGAATGAAGAAAGCGATATTGGTGATATCTGAGAGGCATAAACCCAAACAGATGAGTTCTAATTGCTAATTAAATGAATGAACTAAAACAACTGAAAGCTCAATATTGAGGCTAATCCCATTAACTCAAAACAGTGAATATCACGTATTTTGGATTGAATCAACGTTAACAATGAGAATCATTCCTACTGTCTTATAAGGAATAAAAGCAAACTGAAATCAGTCCGAACGTCACAACACTGTGCCCTTCATAATGCTTTAATCAAATATGAGAATTCATAAAAAATGAGATTCTCAAATTTAATGAGACAGCCAACGATATGGACAATACATGCATATCTGAGCACATAGTTTAATGACCTCTTTAATTATTCGCTTCTTCCTCTTTCATCCCATGCAAAAATGTGACCCAAGCACTGGTATCATTAATTTTTTCACGGTTACCATTGCTCCACAATCAATCACAAATTTTGTTGTTGTTGTTGTGCTGGAATGTTCATTTCGATAAGGTATGAGAGCATCGAATTGAGTTACAGATTGTCTGCAGTTTGCATGATGAACACGACAACAATTCATATGAAAAATATTTTAATTGAAATTCAATCTCATATTCAATAAAACAATGATGATTAAATGATGACATTAAAAATACAATAATATTGACAAGTGGAAATAATTTTAAAAATGCACCTTAAGATTAATATTTAGCACAACTCATATTTTATCAACCAATGAACAAATCAATTTTCGTATCAAAAAAGCATTTATGCCATGAATAAATCACGAATGATAATAAAACATTCAAATAATACAGTGCAATTACAGTTGAAACCACGAAAACACTTCATTGAAAGTCCGTCTTGAAAGTCTGACTGCACGTAAAGCGATCATTTCTCATCACTTTCAAACTAATCACCCTATCAAGCATTATCATTTTACTTTTGAATATCAAGTGAGAATTTTGAAACACCAATCGCACGCGTACTATCCATCAGAAGTGCTCATTTTAAATCAGTTAATACCTCGAAACAAATTATTGAAGAGAACGGAAGAATTATCTTGAATCATCTTCTTATGTTCACCCTAAAACTTTAACTGCCCTCATAAATCTCGCGAATACTTTATTTTTTCCCAAAGAAAAGCAGTCAAAATGAACATTTTTTACACAGGAATGCAAAAGCTGAAGTGTTTTCGCGGCCGCTTAAAACACCGAACCATTATACATACACATCAGTATCAACAATAAAATCCTTCAAAATAATGCATTTGTTCCACGTAAGTGATAGATAGACAGTTCAACGAGAAATATTGCTGTGTAGAAATATCTTATGAAAATCTCATCGAGCAACTAACCGATTCAATCCTTATTGCATGCGCGTTTCATTACTATAACTCAGACAACTCTTCCACAACTCAGAACACCTTTCCCAACAGTTAAAGAGTGTAATTGAAAAATCAATTGTTGCGCTATGAAAAGTTTTCATTTCCGTCAATAATATCAGCAAAATCATAACAAAATTTTCAAATCTACATGTACAAAATATGCAGTGAATAAGNTGATAAGTGCAACAACGACAACATGAAGTAATAGCGCCGATCATATTTTTTGACTCTATTCATTAGTAAATTCAATTAAACCATCAAACAAACAAATTTTGAATCTGACAGTTCCTAACAATATGGTATATATTTCAAATCCGCCATATTTCCCCACAAGTTTCATGGCAAGACATCAAGGTAACTCACTATAAGTATTTGTGAATTCATTCGTCTATCATGCAAATCTTATGCCCATCCTAATCAAATCTAACTAAACATTCAGCAATCATTTAAGTATCATCCTGTGATCATTCCATCTCCTTAACTCTCTCATTCAAACGAAACAATCGACATCACACATTCATTTGTTGTTGCACCACAAAATCATATCAAATAAACAAAACGATCAACATGCATAACCAATACATAATAAATTTCCACATGAAAACATACATGAACATGAAAATATGGATGGAAATGAGAATGAAGTGGACAAATTTAGTGGAAAAACTGTATTACCCGATTATTGCGGCGTACTATAGAGTATAATTTGCAGCATAAAACCATAAAATGGAATACAAAAATAAAACCGAAAATAGTAATATTAAGAGAACGATGCTCAAAATTACGATTACAGTTCGACAAGCAAAAAACAATATTACAAATATTTTTGAGATATACAAGAATGTGAAGAAGAGCATGCAACCAACATCCGAAAATGCAAAATACAGTCAGAAAATACAATTTTATAAAAATGAAACTGCATAAACTACACAGTTTAAAATGATTGCTTTGAGATTATTACTATTATTATTATTATTAAGAACAACACTATTCAGAATTTTGCATTATGTGTGAGAGAGGAGCTCCCAGCTTCAACCAATTTTGGTCACGGCATTGCTTAAGCATGAATGAACCTTGGCCTAATCGTAAGCCTGCGATTAAATCTCAATTTCTAAAATTCCATGCCCTCGTAACAAGTTTTTCATTGAAACCCACTAAAACCAACAGATCGATTCATAATGCAATATTCTAAGAAGTGCTGTAACAGTCCTTATCTTTATTACTATTATTGCTATCGAGATAAAATCATTGTTACTAACACACATATCAATAACGCTTTCAATAGATCACAAAAATTACACAAGAACACACTCATATATACTACTCTATAGGTGACCACATATGCATCGTTGATTAAAAAAACACTCGAAATGCACGGCTATGAACATACACACATAAAGAAAAGAGCAAAAGTATAAATCGGCTATAACAACAACAACAACAACAACAATCAGCATTATTATTGTCGAAGGCAAATGCACTCTCGGTGTCGTAAGTAAAATATTCGAAGAAGGAAACAAAACATTCATAGAGGTACATCGAATTTACGACAGACGAAGACGAATTCAATGAATCGTATCAAATGTAATTGGGAGTCACAAAGGAAGAAATGATCGAATGACAGACAAGCAGCAAGAGGTACTTACTCTGAATCAACTCAGAATATGGGCGAATTTCTCGAAGAAATCTACAAATTTTCTGGAAAGTAGTTCGCAAAAAAATTTGGAGAAAAACGAAAAAATTTGACTGAACAAGTCCAATTTCAACGAGTTTTTCAAGGCCTTCAATGAAAGTTTCCAAAATTCTGCAATGAAATTCCGCAAATCTCACTAAACGAATCAACTCTGAGGCGCAACTCACAAGCAGCACCAGCCAGCAGCCGAAGACAGATACATCTAATGAATCTATCTGAATTTCGCTATGAGCATTTCAATCCCAAAATGCACTCTCCCAATTTTGAACGTTTCAATGATGAAAGCTTACTGATCTCATCACTCAAAAAACGAATATTCCTTCACCACCATCAATAAATATGTAACCGCTAACCACCAAACGATTCATCAAAAGAATATGAATGAGTATCGATCGAAAAATTTTGCAACAAAAACGAATAAAATAAATGACCACTTCTAAGGCGAGCTTTGTGCATCGAAACAAGTCAATAAGTTGACAAAACTATAAGGCTACTAATGGATTGAAGTTTTTGAGAAAAAGAAAAACCAATGCACGAACGAACGCAAGCAAAAAACAATGCTTTAAAAAAACAACAACAACAAGAAATCATCACACAAACATAAGAAACGCACACGGATATTGAAAATAAAAGAAGCGAATTAGCAAAACCTGATTTCAACAATATTACTAATAAACTGATGGAAGCATTTATCCTATTTTCACAAGAAAACACAAAAAGAAAAAAACTAGGAACGGAATTCTCAACATCAGCAATTTTTAAAAATTTCGTCAAAAGAATAATAAACGAAAAATGAATTTTCCATTGTTGCTAATTCATGAAAAACGACGAGGGTTTCGACGCACCAGACGTGAAGCTCACTCGTCTTTTCTTTTACTGGCAGAGCGGGGAGAGAGAAATAAACAAATTTAAAATATTTTGAAACTTTAAAATTTTAACGAGCCAAAACTTGAGAATGGAACTGAAAAATGAAAGAATGCAAAACGATCATTACGATTCTTGGAGAAAGAAATGAAGAGTGAAAGCAGCTGAAGTCTCAACAATTTGAAAAAAAAGCTTTTCGATTTATCCCTATAACGTCAGCATGAGGTTATCGTTGCTTTCACTAGAAGAATCTTAAACACGTTAAGTGACGTTGAGCCAGAGAACTGCCCCATTAGGAAAGCGCATAAGATCATAAAATTTTCTCACTTTATTCCTCTTTCCTTATTGGATATCAAAATCTACATTTCAAAATTTTTCACTCAACTTCATAAATTTTCGTGAAAAATTCTTTCTGATTATAAAAGTGAACAAGTGGAAAAATCACTTTTTCAGAAGCAATAAAATGCATCAAAAAGAGAACATCACGAACAAGAGCAATGCAGAATGATCACAAAAAAAGTGGGCAGCGATCAGTTGACTTAAACGATTACTCAAAAAAAAAGAAAAACAAAATGCAAAATCCACTTCCGAAAAATTGTTCCCAAAAACAAACTTATTTTAACAGAAAATGCAAATTACGAACATTCGATAAGATTCGTGATTTCCATACAGCGATGAAAAATAAAAATCGATTGATAGATCAAACAGAGGAGAATGACGATGGACGTGAAATGTGTTGAATACAAAAGAAACATTAAAAAAAAACAACAACAAAACAGTCATATAATCATTATTACTTTTAGTAGAACAAACGTTCCAAAACAGTGATTAATTCAAAAACAATAATATACACAATAATGAAAGTCAAAAATAGTAATAATAATTATTATTACTATACATTTTCAATAATAATAATTACTGTTATTAACTAATTGAACAACAACCTTGCCTCTGTTTTGTACGTGCATTCTGAACATAATTCATCTCTCTCACAATCTCCGCAAACACCGTATTAACATTATGGGCATTCTTTGCTGAGCATTCCGTAAATGGACACGACCAATATTCGGCTAACGCTAAACCGTCTTCGTTTCGAACCTTAAAAACAGCCATAAAAATATCCACATATTGATACGTAACAAGAATTTATCATCAATCAAGTTGAATAAAATAATTGAATGAACCATTCGATTCAAGCTAAACAACAACCCGGTTCAGGCTCGATAAAATTACTGACATTAGCTGTTGCATTTTCTGACTCAACACATCTATTCCCGCGCTAGATTACCAAAATTTCCCTAGGCGGATAAAAATTCTATGTGAAGTTAAACGACGAGTCGAGTCATTTGAGCCAATTGTTTAGCTATCTTATAAGAACATGCACAAAAAAGAAAAATAAATCTCACCTGCCGTTGATGAATCAAATCACATTTGTTACCTACTAAAAGAATCGGTACTTGATCCGTACCCTGAAACAAAAAACAAAAACAGTTCTAAATAATCCCAATATTTTGAGAAAACTGAAATTTTCATCGACTGACTCCAATAATCAATAAAAGATTTTTCTTCTTCAAGCCTCATAAGCAAATTCATGCACGCCGCCAATGAATCATCATCATCATCAATATGCTATGAAATAAAGTATCGCATCTTTCAGTGGAATTTTTTGCCGCCGTCTGTTTAACATTCATAAAACACATGAAAAATTCTCGGGTTACAAATTCGCTTCGGGAGGAAGGAGAAGTGAATGAAAGTGAAACAATTTCCGATACCTTGACCCTAACAATCTGATCTCGCATCGTCTTGATATCGTGGAATGTCTGTTGACTTGTTATTGCGTAAACAACAACGAATCCCTGTCCATTCTTTATATATAAATCACGCATCGACGCGAACTGCTCTGTACCTGCCGTATCCAATATTTCCAATACACACGGTTGACCGTCAACCTGAAATGCCGCAAAAATCCGAGTAAATCCATCGTTCACTTTTAGAATCCATACTTTGAAAATTCATGACGATTTCAAGCGTTAGAAGCCCATCCACTTACTCAGTTAAGGATTCGAAGTGGTCGCTTAATTTTCCCAATAAAATGACCAAATAATGTGATCCACTCATTCTAAAGACAATGCAAATTTGTCTCACTCGAACGTTCTAATGATTCCACATTTTCTGAAGGCCGATTTAACAAAATTACTAACTATAAATAAACCAAAAGTGTCAATCAGTAATTCCGATGATCAGAAAGATAGCAACGAAACGAAACCTCAATTTCTTTTCGATAGAAATCCTCGATTGTAGGATCGTATTTCTCGATGAATGTGTTCGATACAAACTGCACGGTCAATGCTGACTTCCCAACGCCACCGCTCCCCAAAACGACTACCTGCACAAAACATTCATTCATCAAATTTGCTTTTTCTCGTTCATTCCACGATTTCCAAAAATAAATTAGATTAATATTGCATTTTCAAAAACCTCATACTATCAATGATCAAAAATTAATTATATTTGAACCAAAACGTTGCGCAATTCACGAACTGAAACAAAAGCAAACTTAGGCTGGATAATAACTTACTATTCGATGGTGGGAAAGTGTTTTCACATGAAGTTGGAGAAATTTGATGCCATCCAAAAACACTCCAAAATCTACTGAAAATTGTAGTGACCCGAAAAAACAACAAAATGAATTGCCAACCTTAAATTCGCGCATAGCTCTGCTGATGCGCTGTTTTCAAGCAGCCACCAACTGACAAAAACAGATGAAGATCCACGCTGACCGAATAGTTGAATAATGACAACCCGTTTCAGTTCGTTTTCTTGAGCAACAACTCTCAAGCGGTTCGAGAAGGATGCAGCCGGTGAAGCAGATAATCGTCAGATCTATAAAGCAAACTCTTCCATAACAACTCGGCACATTTTCATGATGTCCTTTGGGCGGAACGAACGAATTACAAATATGGGCAACGCGAATGACTAATTGTATCGAGAATTATTTCCGCATGAAAAACCCACCGCCACAGTCAATTTCATAGCAGACATGAGAAAACTGGAATTAAGCTTAAATCTCAAGTTTCTGGTGAGTTCCCGAACTGGAAGCGCTGCGGAAGCCTTCTTTATCACATAATAAACAATGGCAAGTGAAGATTCACAGCACAAGTTAAAGCTCGTAAAAACCTTCATGAACTGAACCNGTGGGTGCGATCGAGGACAGCGCTGATTCGAACGGCTTAGATTAGTGAATCAATACGAAAACTAATGAGGAATGTAAATATCGAGTGGGAGCAGAAGATAAGATGTCCGAGTGACGACATATAATGCCAAAACGTGGCAGTCACATCATAATTAAACAGGAAATAATCCTCACAATAAGCTAAAAAAGTATCACATCAACGCTTTTTTTGCTGAAATATAGCGTTAAAAATGAAAATTTTCACACCACACAATTGAAATGTTTGTTGTGTTAGAAAATCGAACGTCTGTCTCTATAACACCAGCTGTGGCGCCGCTATGCCGCTATTCATCGCAATCTGTAAACTTCGTACGTGCCTAGCATTCGAGTGTATTGTTCTACGTTCGAATCTGGCTCGAGTTGGAATTCATGTGTAAACCTGTGCTAAGGCTTAAACACACGCTCCGGTTTACAAGAGGCAAAAAGCATGAGTTACTAGACCCTTACGAAGTGTTTACAGGTTGCCACATTTAACGCACTTCCAATGGAGCGGTCGAACCCTTATCGTCTTTCACTACACATAGCGAACAACAAGAGAATCGTTGCTCAGCTATGACTGTTCGGTGCAAGAAGCGGACTTCCGCCCAGTTTGTAGCCGGTATCAAGCAGAGTTTCCGTTGGTTTCGGCAATTAGCTAGAGAGTGAATGACTACGAAAAATGTCAAATACGGTTGAAAAACTGAGTACTTTTCAAACTTTGATGGTGTTAATGAGGAAAACACAACCACTTCTTGATAATTACGCTTCAGAGGTTCAGTTCTATTCTATTGTTAGTCTCATGAAAATCCTAGAATTTTTAGTATAGCTTAAAAATCTGCAACTGAACTGTGAACTGAATTAATCCGCAATGCGAACAATTGAAAGCTCTTCTAAGCACGCATGAAATACATGTTATCATGAATAGATGTAATGCTATTAATATGATTCAATTGTATCAATAACTGCCATTTATATCCTTTATATCGATTACAGAATAAAGTTTTCATGCATTCAATCGTCCAGCTTA